ACCCAGACTTCAGGGCTTCGGACTGGAGGTTCGGTACCCACTCCGGGGTTAGAGTTTTAGGGGGGGTCCTTACAATATGGAGCCAGATATCGGGATCCCTTAAACCGGTTAGGGTTTAGGGTTTAGGGTTTAGGGTTTAAGGTTTGGGGGGGAGCTTCAGAACAGAAGGGACCTATTGTAGAGTTGAGGGGTGCGGCTGCTGGTACCCTAAACCCTAAACCCCTAAACCCTAACCCCTAAACCCCAAACCCCTAATTCCTAAACCCTAAACCCCTAAACCCCTAAACCCTAACCGGTTTAAGGGATCCCGATATCTGGATCCATATTGTAAGGACCCCCATTGCTTCAAAAAAGAGGCCCCCCAGGTATCACCTGCGCTCAAACCGCAAGCCCTAAACCCTTAAGATATCTGGCTAAGAAGGCCCACAGCAGCACTCGGACAGCTCAACCCAAAGCCCTAAGAAGCCTGCTCAGAAGCCCCCCAGGTAGCAACTCGGTAGTTATATGGCAAGACCCAAACCCGTACGATACGGTGTCCCCCCAATTAGTGTAGGAGGCCTTAATCATTAGAATGGGGCTTTGGGGTAAATTCTACATAAACAGAAGAAGGAACCCCCGAAACCCTATTCGAATTATTAAGGCCCCTTAAACTCGCCTTCTAGACCCCCTATAGATCCCTTTAAAAGGCAACCCTTCTCAAAGGAACCCGATTCCAATTATTGAGGCCCCTACTCCATCACCAAAGGGTCCTATGTACTGTGATGGGGGATACTTCCCTGGATCCTAATAGTAACTCCTAATATAGAAACCCTACATCCAACCATACAGGTACGTAGGACCCTTTGGGATTAGCACTTGGGCACTTGAAGACTTAAGGCTCTCAAGGCTTCAAGGATGGCAAAAATACATCAATAGACGAAGTGCCACCGCCGTTCGGCAACATGAACCCCCAAGGGTCCAAGTACCTAAGAATCACATATACTCTCCAACATCCTAACCTACATAACTACTATCCTGAAACTAAGTACCTAATTATTGGGTCCGTTGGACCCTTGGAATAAGAACTTCGGCCGTATGGAGACGACTAGATACTAGCTGACAGTATTACAGGTATTCTACGGAAATTCGATGATGGAGACGACTAGAGAGTAGCTTACAGGTATGCTACGGAAGTACGATGAGGAATGTTATGGAATCACTTCACATTTGGGTGTTCCAGCAGCGGCAGCCGCTGCAACCCATGAGATGGTGAGACACAAGCCTGCCAGAGCGAGACGGGCGTATGCTTTCCAGCTCACGGGCTATAGTGAACTCCAAAAACTTGGAACATGGACTGGGGATGATAAGGATTGCTTATACTGTACCCTAGGGTATGAGGATACTGATGTTCCAACTTTTCGGCTTCTACTGTAAAGGTTTAGGGTTTAGAGCGAGATGGGCGCAGGCTTTCCAGTTCATGGGCTCGGGTGTGGGGCCAACTTACTTGGAGGATCATGGGGCCTGGCAACTAGGGTTATTAGGGCAACTAAACTTGTAACTACTTATGACCCCAACTAAGGTACTTCTAAACGTACTGCTCAGTCCCATGATCCTCCAAGGAGGAGTTCAACTTAAGACTGTGTTGTTACAATAATGGCTTGGTAGCCTATGCAGACAAGGAAGCTGCTAAAGTTTCATCTTTATCACTATCTCCACGGCAATCTCTACCCATAGCTCTGTCTGTCTGTCTGACTGACTGTCTGCCTGTCTTTCTGTCTGCCTGTCTGTCTTTCGTTCTGTCTGTGTGTCTGTGTGTCTTTGTGTCTGGGTGTCTGGGTGTCTGGGTGTCTGGGTGCCTGGGTGTCTGGGTGTCTGGGTGTGTGGATGCTTGTGTGTCTGTGAGTCTGTGTGTCTGTGTGTCTGTGTGCCCGTCGGTCTGCCTGTCTGCCTGTCTGCCTGTCAGTCTGTGTATGTATGTCATGTTTGTCTGATTATGTGTCTCTCTCTCTCTCTCTCTTTGTGCGTGTGTGTCTGTCGTGCACCTGCCTGTCTGTCCGTCTGCCTGCCTGTCTGTGTGTATGTATCGCCTAACGTACATTCTTGCATACATACATACACCTGCACGCATGGACATGTTGCGTCCGTAACACTGAAGCCTTATGGAGGCTTACGGCCGTGACCCTTCCTGCCCAATACCTAGATCGTACACCCCTAAACCCTGAACCTGGATCAGCATGTCGATTCATGGACCGGGTGTTGGCTTGGATACAAGCCCTGAGCCCTAAATCCGAAGTGCTTGCATCATCGGAGGAGCTAGCCAGGTTGGGTTGTAGAAAGGGCAGCTGTCTGCTTTGTAAAACCCACTTGCAATCCTGACTGACACTACAGTTACATGCACACGGTCCTCCGATAAAACGCTGAAGGATTGACACCCCAAACCCCAAATCCTACTCTGGAAGCTCTGGTGATTCGAAGAGGGACTAGGGGCACATTATCCTACAACTGTACCATGGAGTGGAATACCAAGAAGCCGCATTACTAATCAGTCAGGCTTCTCGTTTAATGGCGTCAGGTTTATTGTTGACCAAACCCTCAGTCCCAAACCCACAAAACTCCAAACCCTAAACCCCAAACCCTAAACCCTAAACCCCTAAACCCTAGACCCCCAACATTACAAACCCTGAATCCGCCCAAACCCAAAGCCTACCTAGACCTGAAATTTGAAATCTGGTGCCTTTCTATAAAGAAGCCGTTTCGTGGTTAGGTTCCTAGAATAAGCAACTAAGGGTAACCAACAAGGCTATCAGATTTCAGATTCTTTGTAGATCCCTCAATGAGGATGGAACCCAAAAGATAATTGCAGAGGGACTAGAAGGGAACAGTTTTTCTATATGTATTCAGGATCTCACATACTGCAATTGGCTTGAGGGTCTGGGGTGTCAGTTTGCATGAGGTGCCGTAGAATAGCATAGGAATGTTTTGATGTTTGTTGCTGCGGCGGCCGCAATCAGCCATGTTCCAGGACTCTTTACCTAAGGGGTCTTTACCTCAAACTCTGCAAAAAATGAGGGGCAAGTGTCTTTGCGGTAAGCCTGAAGTCAGATCTTGTTGAGGTACTGAGGAGCTTAAGCTGAGATACCTTACCCTCGGTGTTCATGTGGAGGTTTCCAAAAAAAAGCGGACCAAAATATAGTACCCTAAAACAAAACCTGAGTCCAAGGCCTTACGGATGAAGACTTCCAGGCCCTGCACGTGGCTCCTGGAGTGTTTACGGTTTCCGGGGTACCTAAATCTACCAGAATGCCTACAGTACTCGTTTGTATGGTCGATACAACTTCGATATTCGATACAATATGAAGCTGCACGAAAACAAGTTCTGGTAGTTTAAGGTGGGGTTTAGAGTTATAAGGGTATATCGATGGTGCGAGGCTGGCACCAACTATGTTCTAGCCCATTTTCTACATTTTGGTATACTATATGATTACAGTATCTTATAAAGTGGTACATTACCGTGAAATCTAGCATTTTGTAGGCATCTCGGCCTATGTACTTGTGTCAGTGGCCAGGGCCCCCTTTCATAAGTACCCAGCAAAGGCCGTAATCATGAGGAGAGGGATTTGGGTGTATGATAGTAACGTAGACTAAGGAACCCAGAGGGATAATATGGGCAGTTATTCAAGCTTGTATACCAGCTGTACCTCCCTGAGACTCGGGCTCAGGATACGCAGTCTCCTAGTAGTCAGTTTCAATGTTCAATCAGGAAGCAGCAAACAAACAAGGTACCAGGATTCTACTGGGAGGCTTAGCATAGACGCCAGAATAATCTCTAATCGCACATGTATTCCTTTGGTTCCTGATTATGAATGTATGTGAGAGTGTAATATACCCCAAACCCTGCTCAAATTCTTAAGTCTCTTGCATTGAATTGCTTAGTTGATATGGACTGCATTTTAATACACAGCAAAGGGGCGTCTGGCCCTTGTTCTCCCGAAAAGGTGTTACTTCCGAGCCCGAAAGGGTTGCAGTTCAAGCATCTCTGACCCAATTGACTCTATGTACATACACCTCTGCTACAACGTAGTAACTCTTCCGCACTGGCCCAAGATATCCTATGCAGGAGCACGGACCCTGATCTGGTGAGATACGGTACGATGACGGCCGCGGATTTTTACATTCAAGGGTTTGAGCAGCAAGTGAATAATGAATTGGTTTATGGCATGAACTTGTCAAGACTGTATTTATATTTCACTTAAGAGGCACATTGCCAGAAAGCCGAATTTTGACATGGGTTTCGGTGGGTTGAAACACAGTGGGAAACTCGCAGGTAGTATAAGTGATAGGGGCCTTCATGATTAGGGAAAAGGTTTTGGAGTGCAACCTACTAAAACTCAAAAAAGGATAGTAGTGGTAGTAGTAGCAGTGCAAGAAGTAGCAGAAGTAGCAGTGGCAGCAGTAGCTGTAGCAGTAGCAGCAGTAGTAGCAGTAGCAGCAGCAGAAGCAGTAGTAGCAGTTGTCGTCGACGTAGTCGAAGCTAGTCGTAGTCGTCGTCGTAGTAGTAGTAGTAGTAGTAGTAGTAGTAGTAGTAACGTCGCAGTCGTAGCAACTGTTCATGCTTTTCCACTAGGGCCTCTACTTTGATAACTATATGCTAGTCGATATACATGCCTATACGTACTGCGATTCGACCCTGCAGGCACTGCTAAGCACATCTCAAATCAACGCCGACATTTATCCAGGTTCAATACCCAAGAGGCCAAATACCAGTAGGTTTGCTTTTTGTTCCGCTCTTGTTGAACCCATTTTCTGCGATATCAGTAGGGTTCGAGGTCGAAGGAAACGCTTCACAGCATAGTGCGCGGGATCTCAGACACCTCTATACCCCAAGGCCTAAACCAAAACCTAAACCTAAACCCTGAACCCCAAACCCGAAACCCTAAACCCCTAAACCGAAATCCGATACCTTTGTTCGGGCAAGCCGGCCCTCTTGGACGGTCCTGTGCCTGGGACGCTTCCTCCAGGAATCAATCCTGCCAGCACGGGGTCTCCAAACACCCTAACCCAAAGTGTCCAAGTAATGCGTAGCATATACTTTTAGGGTCCAATTACCTACTAAGTAGTTCCCATGTTGGTACTGGACCCTTTGGGTAACATAGGAGCCTTACAAAAATAGAATGGGTTCCTTGGAAGGAGTCTATAAGCGTTACTATAAGGGATCTATAGGGGCCTTAGTAATTAGAGGGGCTTGGTGGTACATAATGGTATAATCTTAATAAGGAGAGCCCCCCACAATAGTACGCCCTACCTGGACCTTGAAGAACCTACATATTTAGGGTTCCTTATTATGATTTCCTTATATGGTAGGTTATTTGGGCTCAAGGTATACCCTAAACCATCCAAAACCATTAGCTCCACTTCTCTGTTAAAACATATGGAAAAGCCAGCTCATCACAGCGAATATGACGAAGAAAAGGCATGTCTCAACAAACCCAGCGAGGTGCAGCTTTAAGCCTATGCTGAGTGCTGTAGGAGTTAAGCATAGCTCCAGGCCCTACCTGGACCCTAAGGAACCTAGATTTTCAGGGTTCCTTATTGTGATTTCCTTATACATGTGAGTCCTTGAGAAGGTAGAATTTTGGGGTTAAGGTGAGCCTCAGAGGGTCTAGTCCCTTGGCACCGCAAGCCCAGATCGAGGAAGCGATGAAGAAGCTTAAGCAAGGGATGTGTATGTATCTACGTAGCTATGAACCTATATAACTTTGTATGTATGTATGTATGTCTGTCTGTCGTTGTGTCTGTGTAGGGAGAGAGGTTACAAGGAGATGTGATGGTAAGATAAGATGATGGTACGACTACAAGCTCAATATCCACACTCAGATCTACATACCCTGTGAACCCCTACGTCCCTCAAAGCCGCATCCTCGATCGGTGAGCCATTGCGCCAGCGACTCTTCGTCGCATTGCCTTGGACAACAAGGTCGTTGTTTTTGCACTACTCCGCTCGTCTGCTTTTATTCGATCCCGAGTTTGGTCGTCAAAACGGTGCAAGGGTTTGTTCGGTTTCTTAGTCTGGTGCTTCAGAGTGGAGTGAGGCGAAATCGCCGCGCAGCGTTCGCAAGTAATTACTTGCAAAGTGCTTCCAAATGCTCGGAAGCGTTCGTGAGCCTCGTGTGGGTCCGGGAAGAGCTAAGAGGGAACACATTCGGGTTTGCACCTACTGGCAGGATTCTGCTTGTAGCTTTTGCGCGCCTGACGTCCCGGCGTTGAGAGGGCCTTGCTTAAAGTCTCCAGCATTCATGGAGTTCCTTACACTGCTTTCTAACACGGCCAGGGTTCAGTCAGACGGGGTCGGTCGGATGTGTGGAGCTTGATGTAACCAATCTACCCTAGGGATCTAAGGACTCATATATAAGGCTTTGGGCTCGAAGACCATGCTATATATGGCTTTTAGGCTATTTTGATCCCCAGTGCTAGGTGGTCTAGAGATTGCTTCAAGAAAGTCGCAAGCTGCGCTTATAGGATTTGGGGGTTTCCTATAATAAGGATCCTACTATTTAGGGGACTATATTAGGGTCCTTTATTTTCGGAAACTCCCCAAACCCTAAAAGCTAAACCCTTGCAGAGCCCTTTAAAGGAACCCCTATAGTACTCCCTTTAGACCCTAAACCCTAAACCCTAAACCCCTAAACCCTAAACCCTGAACCCTAAGGTACCCCCTGGCCTTAAACATGGGTTTTGCGCCTGGAGCTTTGAGACTTAGGATCGGGAGGGTCCTCTCCCACAGGGTCCTATGCACTGTGATGGGGGATACTTTTAAGGGTTTCCTTTAAGGGATCTATAGGGGTCCCTTTAAGGGTTCCTTCAAGGGATCTTAAGATACTGTTATGGGGGATACTTCCCTGGAGCCTAATAGTATTTCCTAATATAGAAACCCTACATTCGACTATACAGGTACATAGGACCCTTTGGATTAGTAATTAGAATCGGGTTTTCGGGTTCCTTTAAAGGAATCCTTAAAAGGGTTCTATCCCTAGGGATCTAAGGACTCATATAATTATTAAGGCTTTTGGGCTCAAAGACCATACTATATGAGGCTTTTGGGCTATTTTGATCCCAAGATTATAAGGGATCTATAAGGGTACATAGGACCCTTTGGGTCTCTGAAGCGTGTCCAAGCAAGGCTCCGCCGGATGCAAGAGAATTCCGGTAGTAATAAAGAGGTCTGTTTTTGTGGATCCAAAAACCTACCGGTTTAAGGGTTCTACCTTCTAATTAAGGGGTCATAGCCTACTATTTTGTAGGCTTTGGGGTCTTGACAATAATAGTGGGGTTTTGGGGTACAGGGAACCCATAGGCAAAATATTGGCGCGTGTCCAGGTCCCTACATTGAGGGTTTCCCTGACAAATCCTCAGCTGCTAATTAAACGGAGCTGACAACCGGAACTGACGAGCGGATTTGGGATTCCGCCGGGGGTTCCTGAATTCCAAACAATAACCCCAAGGGTGAATTCATGTACCTGAATAGTATCCGCCGACCCTGCTGGGGCGGCGCTCAGAAGCTCTTGGATTCTTGCAGCATCTGGTCGACTCGCTCTTACTCGGGAATCTAGGTCCTCTTTCTATGACCAGCACCGTACAAGTTTGCTGCAAAAACTTCCCGGCACCTCCCTTCCGGCCCCACTCGGCACCATTCGGCACTACTCGGATGTTTGCCTGACCCCTTCCCGACCGCACTCGGCACCACTCGGCATTAGTAAAGTATATTTTAAAGGCACCCCAATGTCTGCCTGACCCCTTCCCGGCCCCACTCGGCACCACGCGGCACTACTCGGCACTACTCGGCTCCACAAACTGTAGATTTTGGTGGTATTTCTGTATTAGTAGAGTAATTGAAAGGCACCCCAATGCCTGCCTGACCCCTTCCCGGCCCCACTCGGCACCACGCGGCACTACTCGGCACTACTCGGCTCCACAAACTGTAGATTTTGGTGGTATTTCTGTAGTAGTAGAGTAATTTAAAGGCACCCCAATGCCTGCCTGACCCCTTCCCGGCCCCACTCGGCACCACGCGGCACTACTCGGCACTACTCGGCTCCACAAACTTTAGATTTTGGTGGTATTTCTGTATTAGTAAAGTATATTTTAAAGGCACCCCAATGTCTGCCTGACCCCTCGGCCCCACTCGGCCTCTTTCTATGACCAGCACCGTACTCGGCTCCACAAACTGTAGATTTTGGTGGTATTTCTGTATTAGCAGAGTAATTTAAAGGCACCCCAATGCCTGCCTGACCCCTTCCCGGCCCCACTCGGCACCACGCGGCACTACTCGGCACTACTCGGCTCCACAAACTGTAGATTTTGGTGGTATTTCTGTATTAGTAGAGTAATTTAAAGGCACCCCAATGTCTGCCTGACCCCTTCCCGGCCCCACTCGGCTCACTCGGCACCACTCGGCACTACTCGGCTCCACAAACTGTAGATTTTGGTGGTATTTCTGTAGAGTAATTTAAAGGCACCCCAATGTCTGCCTGACCCCTTCCCGGCCCCACTCGGCACCACGCGGCACTTACTCGGCACTACTCGGCTCCACAAACTGTAGATTTTGGTGGTATTTCTGTATTAGTAGAGTAATTTAAAGGCACCCCAATGCCTGCCTGACCCCTTCCCGGCCCCACTCGGCACCAGTCGGCACTACTCGGCACGACTCGGCTCCACAAACTGTAGATTTTGGTGGTATTTCTGTAGAATAATTTAAAGGCACCCCAATGTCTGCCTGACCCCTTCCCGGCCCCACTCGGCACCACTCGGCACTACTCGGCACTACTCGGCACTACTCGGCTCCACAATCTGTAGATTTTGGTGGTATTTCTGTATTAGTAGAGTAATTTAAAGGCACCCCAATGTCCTATTTCTGTAGTAGTAGAGTAATTTAAAGGCACCCCAATGTCTGCCTGACCCCTTCCCGGCCCCACTCGGCACCACTCGGCACTACTCGGCTCCACAATCTGTAGATTTTGGTGGATTTCTGTAGTAGAGAGTAATTTAAGGCACCCAATGTCTGACTGACCCCTTCCCCGGCCCCACTCGCACCACGCGGCCACTCGGCACTTACTTCGGCCCACAAACTGTAGTTTGGTGGTATCTGTAGTAGTATAGTAATTTAAAGGCACCCCAATGTCTGCCTGACCCCTTCCCGGCCCCACTCGGCACCACGCGGCACCACTCGGCACTACTCGGCTCCACAAACTGTAGATTTTGGTGGTATTTCTGTATTAGTCGAGTAATTTAAAGGCACCCCAATGCCTGCCTGACCCCTTCCCGGCCCCACTCGGCACCACGCGGCACTACTCGGCACTACTCGGCTCCACAAACTGTAGATTTTCGTGGTATTTCTGTATTAGTAGAGTAATTTAAAGGCACCCCAATGTCTGCCTGACCCCTTCCCGGCCCCACTCGGCACCAGTCGGCACTACTCGGCACGACTCGGCTCCACAAACTGTAGATTTTGGTGGTATTTCTGTATTAGTAAAGTATATTTTAAAGGCACCCCAATGTCTGCCTGACCCCTTCCCGGCCCCACTCGGCACCACTCGGCACTACTCGGCTCCACAATCTGTAGATTTTGGTGGTATTTCTGTATTACTAAAGTAATTTAAAGGCACCCCAATGTCCTATTTCTGTAGTAGTAGAGTAATTTAAAGGCACCCCAATGTCTGCCTGACCCCTTCCCGGCCCCACTCGGCACCACGCGGCACCACTCGGCACTACTCGGCTCCACAAACTGTAGATTTTGGTGGTATTTCTGTAGTAGTAGAGTAATTTAAAGGCACCCCAATGTCTGCCTGACCCCTTCCCGGCCCCACTCGGCACCACGCGGCACCACTCGGCACTACTCGGCTCCACAAACTGTAGATTTTGGTGGTATTTCTGTATTAGTCGAGTAATTGAAAGGCACCCCAATGCCTGCCTGACCCCTTCCCGGCCCCACTCGGCACCACGCGGCACTACTCGGCACTACTCGGCTCCACAAACTGTAGATTTTGGTGGTATTTCTGCATTAGTAGAGTATATTTTAAAGGCACCCCAATGTCTGCCTCTGACCCCTTCCCGGCCCCACTCGGCACCACTCGGCACCACTCGGCACTATTCGGCTCCACAAACTGTAGATTTTGGTAGTATTTCTGTATTAGTAGAGTAATTTAAAGGCACCCCAATGTCCGCCTGATCCCTTCCCGGCCCCACTCGGCACCACGCGGCACCACTCGGCACTACTCGGCTCCACAAACTGTAGATTTTGGTGGTATTTCTGTATTAGAAGAATAATTTAAAGGCACCCCAATGTCTGCCTGACCCCTTCCCGGCCCCACTCGGCACCACGCGGCACTACTCGGCACGACTCGGCTCCACAAACTGTAGATTTTGGTGGTATTTCTGTATTAGCAGAGTAATTTAAAGGCACCCCAATGTCTGCCTGACCCCTTCCCGGCCCCACTCGGCACCACGCGGCACCACTCGGCACTACTCGGCTCCACAAACTGTAGATTTTGGTGGTATTTCTGTCTTAGTAGAGTAATTTAAAGGCACCCCAATGTCTGCTTGACCCCTTCCCGGCACCACTCGGACACCAGTCGAGAAAAACACTACCTCGGCTCCACAACTGTACATCACTTTTGTCAAGATCTGGTATTTCTGTATTAGTAGAGTAATCTAAAGGCACCCCAATGTCTGCCTGACCCCTTCCCGGCCCCACTCGGCCCTACTCGGCACCACTCGGCACTACTCGGCTCCACAAACTGTAGATTTTGGTGGTATTTCTGTATTAGTAGAGTAATTTAGAGGCACCCCAATGTCTGCCTGACCCCTTCCCGGCCCCACTCGGCCCTACTCGGCACCACTCGGCACTGCTCGGCTCCACAAACTGTAGATTTTGGTGGTATTTCTGTATTAGTAGAGTAATTTAAAGG